CTCATCTTCACATCTTCTCATCTTCACATCTGCTCATCTTCACATCTGCTCATCTTCACATCTGCTCATCTTCACATCTGCTCATCTTCACATCTGTTCATCTTCACATCTGCTCATCTTCACATCTGCTCATCTTCACATCTTCTCTCACATCTGCTCATCTTCACATCTGCTCATCTTCACACCTTCTCTCACATCTTCTCATCTTCACACCTTCTCTCACATCTTCTCATCTTCACATCTGCTCATCTTCACATCTTCTCTCATATCTCTCTCACATCTTCTCTCACATCTGCTCATCTTCACATCTTCTCTCACATCTTCTCTTACATATTCTCTCACATCTTCTCTCACATCTGCTCATCTTCACATCTTCTCTCACATCTGCTCATCTTCACATCTGCTCATCTTCACATCTTCTCTCACATCTGCTCATCTTCACATCTGCTCATCTTCACACCTCTCATCTCTCACATCTGCTCATCTTCACATCTGCTCATCTTCACATCTGCTCATCTTCACATCTTCTCTCACATCTCTCTCCTTTTTCTCTCTCTCGCCTTCTTTTTATCTTTCTCTCTTAAGGCCGAGGGTGGTGCCGGCGGCGAGTCACGAAACGTCAACCCTTTCGCACGAAATGAGGGTCGATCGGCAAAAACTGAGGTAAAATTGCGATTTTACGTGTGCTAAAGCAACCCTTTCGCACGAAATGAGGGTCGATCGGCAAAAACTGAGGTAAAATTGCGATTTTACGTGTCCCGGAGCAACCCTTTCGCACGAAATGAGGGTCGATCGGCAAAAACTGATGTAAAACTGCGATTTTACGTGTGCTAAAGCAACCCTTTCGCACGAAATGAGGGTCGATCGGCAAAAACTGAGGTAAAACTGCGATTTTACGTGTCCCGGAGCAACCCTTTCGCACGAAATGAGGGTCGATCGGCAAAAACTGAGGTAAAATTGCGATTTTACGTGTGCTAAAGCAACTCTTTCGTACGAAATGAGGGTCGATCGGCAAAAACTGAGGTAAAATTGCGATTTTTCGTGTGCCGGAGCAACCCTTTCGCACGAAATGAGGGTCGATCGGCAAAAACTGAAGTAAAATTGCGATTTGACTTGTCCTGGAGCAACCCTTTCGCACGAAATGAGGGTCGATCGGCAAAAACTGAGGTAAAACTGCGATTTTACTTGTCCTGGAGCAACCCTTTCGCACGAAATGAGGATCGATCGGCAAAAACTGAGGTAAAACTGCGAGTTTACTTGTGCCGTTCTTGTCTGTGTGTAAAAGCGCCTGTGTGTAAAAAGCGTCTGTGTGTAAAAGTCTCTGTGTGTAAAAGCGTCTGTGTGTCAAAGCGTCTGTGTGTCAAAGTGTCTGTGTGTAAAAGCGTCTGTGTGTAAAAGCGTCTGTGTGTAAAAGTCTCTGTGTGTAAAAGCCTCTGTGTGTAAAAGCCTCTGTGTGTCAAAGTGTCTGTGTGTAAAAGCGTCTGTGTGTAAAAGTGTTTGTGTGTAAAAGTGTTTGTGTTCAAGTGTTTCTGTGTAAAAGCCTCTGTGTGTAAATGTGTTTGTGTGTGAAAGCGTTTGCGTGTAAAAAGCGTCTGTGTGTACAAGTGATTGTGTGTAAAAGCGCTTGTGTGTCAAGCCGTCTGTGTGTAAAAGCGTCTGTGTGTCAAAGTGTTTCTGCGTAAAAGTGTTTGTGTGTAAAAGCTTCTGTGTGTACAAGCGTCTGCGTGTAAAAGCGTCTGTGTGTAAAAGTGTTTGTGTGTAAAAGTGTTTGTGTGTAAAAGTGTTTGTGTGTAAAAGTGCCTGTGTGTAAAAGCGTTTGTGTGTAAAAGCAGCTCCTGTCTGTAAAAAGGTCTGTGTGTAAAAGTGTCTGTGTGTAAACATGTCTGTGTGTAAAAGTGTCCGTGTAAAAGCGTCTGAAAGCAGCTCCTGTCTGTAAAAAGGTCTGTGTGTAAAAGTGTCTGTGTGTAAACATGTCTATGTGTAAAAGTGTCCGTGTAAAAGCGTCTGTGTGTCAAAGCGTCTGTGTGTAAAAGCGTCTGTGTGTAAAAGCGTCTGTGTGTAAAAGTGTTTGTGTGTAAAAGTGTTTGTGTGTAAAAGCCTCTGTGTGTAAAAGCGTCTGTGTGTAAAAGCGTCTGCGTGTAAAAGCGTCTGTGTGTAAAAGAGTTTCTGTGTAAAAGTGTTTGTGTGTAAAAGTGCCTGTGTGTAAAAGCGTCTATGTGTAAAAGCTTCTGTGTGTACAAGCATTTGTGTGTAAAAGCAACTCCTGTGTGTAAAAGGGTCTGTGTGTAAAAGTGTCTGTGTGTAAACGTATCTGTGTGTAAACGTGTCTGTGTAAAAGCTTCTGTATGTAAAAGCTTCTGTGGGTAAAAGCTTTCTGTGTAAAAGTGTCTGTGTAAAAGCTACTGTGTGTAAAAGCTTCTCACTATTTGGTCTTGATACTCCTCTTCTCGACTGCCTATAACACATCTTTCATACATCGTTTCTAAAATTGCGTCTCCATACTAACAAGAGAAGACCCTGCTCCTCTACGCTCTCGGGCCATCCGTCGTCTAGTGTTTGAGTGGTTTCACATGTTTGCTGGTGTGTGAGTGCTTGAGATCCCTGGTGGGAAAACAGTTTCCTTAGTAACTTCAGAACCTGTCCTTTTCGCCGATCGAGTCTGAAACGTGTTGCAAAGTTGGCAGGTGATGTTGCTGGAGGGATGTTTGGAAGGTCACCTCACCTTGAAGCTTGTCTTGGTTGCAGCAGGGCTGTCTTGTCAGGGTGCGGGCCAGAAAAAGCGAAGATGTGGCGATGTGTGTTTACCACCAAACCATCACAATCATATTCATATTCGAGTCTGAGAATGGTCGGTCCATGCGTCATAATATCACAATGAGTCATATCCCTGCTACCTGCTGCAGTAAATGGTAATGCTCTTTTGAAGAGCGCAGAAGGATCTGTTCAATTAAATTACCGGAAGGTTTCATATGGATCTTCTCAGCTGTGCGCAAAGGACCTTCACAATTATCCTCCTGCAAGCGAGAACACGGGGCAGGCCAGCAATTCAGGCATATAAACGCAACATAGTGCAATCACATTTGCTAAAATGCATGGAAGCTTTCGTGTTCGCAGGCTTGTGGTGCAATCTCGAAATCCATTTGCTTCGCCGCATTTGGATTACAAGCCCTTGAGCAACAGTGATGACATCCAGGTCCCAAAGTTTGACTCCATGGGCTCCACGACTGTCTTGTATCCTGTGAAAGACAAAGCATTCCTGGATCGCATCGAAGAGTTGCCAGGTTCTGGCCAACGCCATCAGATTGTTGTACCAGGTCAGCAAAATTCAGCAGATTTTTCCTCGGGAAGCTGGAATTTCATGTATAAATTTTATCATAGTCATTCAATTTAGCACGATCTGCTTGAAAAATTGCCGGGGTAGCCCAGGGTGTCTTCGCTTCATCGGAGTTGGCCCCTTTTGAGTTGGGCGTGAGTCCCGGCATGGAGGTCTGCAAGCCGAGTATTGGACAAAAATCAAAATCAGACGGGCTTCAAATTCCAAGGTCATGATGTCATGATGTTAAAATGCTTCTAGACCGTGCTGAAACAGGTCATGCGAAAGAATCTACATGACTACCACCAAAAGCAACAGTTGTTTTCATGGAGCCAGCAAATTGTAAACTCTTGACTTCTTGTGACCAGCACGCAGTTCGCATGTCAAAGTAGACGTGGCAATTACAAATGCCCAAGACTACATTCTTCCATGTTCGTCTGAGAAAGACAGTCACAAAGCGTTTCGCGTGACAAAGCGAGTCCATGACAGACAAACTCAGTGCTTCCGACAATTTGACCTTCACAGCCAGGTAGTGGCAGATTTCCACAAGCTCGCGCATTTCCAGCCTGTTTCATTGTGGTTTGCCAGGAACATGTCGATTTGCTCTGAGACAAAGGTGGAATCAATGCCAGGCAATGGATCCGGGCCAATATCTACTACTACTCGCATCCAACGGGGACTGCTTGTTGCCGTGTTCGATGTCAGTTTCGATTTTATCATGAAGCATCGAACAGCAACGTTTGCTTTGTCATCTTAGTCCGACTACAGCAGAATTATCAGAATTTGCCCCGCATCTTCTGGGCTCCGAAAGAGTTTCATCAAGAAATGAAGGCATTGGACTGAAGTTCCAAATGAGTGAATTGGCCCAATTGGCCCTTGTCCAAGACAGAACGCAGTTTCCCCAAAGCTTCATCAAACTTACTGAATAAGAATTGAATGGCATCACTGTTGGACCAGATGGAACTTTGCATCAACAAGTCATCCTAAGCATCTTGCAGATCTTTGCGAGTCAGATAGCAAACCAATCCACACTACCAGGAACAGCATCTTCAAAGTCAGCAGAGACTGTATGTTTATTTGGAACTGGTCATTCTCAATAAGCAAACAAGCACGCTTCTGTGATAACGAATCACATTTCTGTCCGACAGTTGTTGAGTGGCTATGGCTTCAATGGCATTTTCTGTTCCGACCTCTGTCCAAAGGGCCCTGCCTGGCCGTGCCCGTGCGGCTGTGCAGCTCTGATGTTGGGCCAAGGCTTCATCGTCTGAGCTCTTTCAGCCTCGAGACTTTGCAGATCCCGTGCCTTGGCGTCGCTTTCGTTGGTTTCGTTGCGTTGCCTTGGTCTCCTTGGTAGTGGCCCCAAGGCTCTCAGCAACGCCCAGGATTCAGAGCAGCCCAGATATTCCCAGTCTTCGACTTAGTTTTCCAAAGATGCGGCTGCAAGGAAGACTTCTGGAACAGCAATGGAATTCCTGGCACATTGCATGTTGTATTTTGTTCGAGGTCGTTTGATGAGTTGGAGTCAAACCTTGAGCTAGCAGGCACAAGGTTACATTCTGATGCTGGACCAAACTGTGAAATCGGCACAGATTATATGTAAAATATTATATGATATATACACTATTATATAAGCCTCCGTGGTAAGTGCAAGGTCTAGATTGTAATACCGTATTGAACAAGAGTCTTTCTGTGTGAGAATGTGTATTCGAAGAAAGCCAACACAAAGGAATTGGTGAAAGGGGATATTCAGTGGCAATGTCATGGCAGATGGAGAATCCAGTGGCAACGCCATGGCATCTGCAGTGTCCAAGGAGGTGTGCTGCCTAGTGACGCTAAGCATACGCTAAGCATTCTGAAAAATGTACAGATTTGGATGCTCTGCCAAACTTGCAAGCATGTTGGCTGCGCATTGTGTAGTCAGTCAGATTCTAATGATATACCCTTTACATCCCTTTACTTGCCAGCTGCAAAATCATCGTCCATTTCGGATGGAAGAGATTCTGGTTCCATTGGGCATTCGAGGAGAAAGCTGCATAAACGCCAACAGAAGTGCAATTTGTACAGTTTGAAGATTTTGAAGCCAACAAGTGCCACAGACAAGGTCCTCTCTGCAACAGACCAATACTCTTTGCGACTTGGCTTGGAGTATTGCGCACTGAAGAGTTCGATGCGACAAGAGCCTTTTCAGGTCATGTGGCATCCATGGTCATGAAACATACAGATACAGTGTGGAGTGGGACTTGACATTTTCAGGAATAGATTCTACATGGTCTCAAAGGCGTGTCAAACGTCATATAATTACGAAAGCCAGCCGAAGGCTGGAGGATCTGTATACGGGGAAGCTATGGCGAAGCTAATCTAGGGGGATGTGGGGGGAGGCTCCGGAATCGGTAGCTCTTGGAATGGGTAGCCGGAATTGGGTGGGGGGACGGGAAAACGGCGTTGGTGCGGAGGTCTTGTTTTCGAGAAGGTGGGAGTGTCTTACCATTGTAAACCTGACCCCCCTTATAAAAAAAGGGGGGAATACTGGGGAACAGGTTCTGGCCGATTAAAGGAGTGTCTTACCAAGAGTGTCTTACCGAGAGTGTCACTCCAAGAGTTTGGGTGCCCTTTTGGATGTGACAATGGCCCAGCTTTTCGTTTGTTTATTTTTGGGAGGGGGGAACCGGAGAATTGTTGTGTTTTCACGAAAAACATCTGTTGAGAGGTTCCCAAAGTATTTGGCTGTGGGATGTGCTCCGGGGAGGGTGCAAGAAATACCTTCAACTGATAAGGAGCCATTGGCATAAACAAGAATATGAACAGACATTGACTCTGTCACATGCTAAACCTGGTTCGCTTTAAAAACCACCAGGAGACAGCCTTGTTTGTTTGTGTGTTTTTTTTTTCTGGCCGATGTAGAACAATGGTTAGTACTTAATGGTGAATGGTCTACCTGGTAGTACATAAACTTGATAATGATTGGTAATTTTGGTGGCACACCATTGGTTGATGATGGTTCATGACAGTAGATATTGGTTGATCATGGAACATGATGGTTAATAATGGCGCTTCATGATTATGAATGGTGGTTAAGAATAGTTATTAATATCTATTGGTTACTAACGATTAATTGTTAATGGGAGATTGAGGCGCGTGATTCCCCACCTGCCAGGTGAGGGTTGTTAGATTTTATGTCAGTTGCCTGGTCCTCCTCCTCCTCCTCGTCCTCCTCCTCCTCCTCTCCTCCTCCTCTCGTTGTCCTCCTCCTCTCGTTGTCCTCCTCGTCCTCCTGCTCAACTGCGACTCGCGATCCACAGTGTTCTCTGTCGGACCTCAACCACGACCATCCACGCCCAGTGTTCCCTGCCGGACCTCAACCACGACCATCCACGCCCAGTGTCCCTGCCGGACCTCAACCACGACCATCCACGCCCAGTGTTCCCTGCCGGACCTCAACCGCGACCATCCACGCCCAGTGTTCCCTGCCGGACCTCAACCACGACCATCCACGCCCAGTGTTCCCTGCCGGACCTCAACCGCGAGTATCCATGCCAAGTGTTCCCTGCCGGACCTCATGTAGGAAGATAAAATGTCAGATAGAGTGCCAGAAGATTTGCCAGGTAGAATGCCAGAAAATATGCCAGAAGATATGCCAGATAGATATGCCAGAAGATATTCCGGAAGATATGCCAGATAGAATGCCAGATAGAATGCCAGAAGATATGTCAGAATATATGCCAGAAGATATGCCAGATAGAATGCCAGATAGAATGCCAGAAGATATGTCAGATAGAATGCCAGAAGATATGCCAGATAGAATGCCAGAAGATTTGCCAGATAGAATGCCAGAAGATATGCCAGAAGATATGCCAGATAGAATGCCAAATAGAATGTCAGAAGATATGTCAGATAGAATGCCAGAAGATGTGCCAGTAAGAACATGTATAAATGTCATGGTGGGGATCACACGAAGTAAAGTAATTTCATATGATCATACTCATTTTTTTGAAAAAATACTGGGGACCAGTACGTCTTGAGCGTGACAATGGCCCAGCCTATTATTCTCAAGAACCGGCCTTTTTTTTTGATTTGCCGATAAACATTTGTTGGGAGGTGCAGCAAAGCATTCCAGAAAGTCATGCTTAAGATTAGGGCGTTGAAGGGGGGGACGAAAGCCAGCCACCCCGGCAGAAAAGGAAGGCGGGTTTTTTTTTGCTTGCTGTTGCCGCTAGCACAATGTTTTGGCGGGCTCGAGTACGCCTGGCATTTGGAGCCGCTGCAATCGGTTTCCCCAAGCATTGGCGATGATAAGTCGCTAGCCACTAGTTGATCCAGGTACTTCTAATTACGAGTTGGCGGAGAAGACTAACCGGTGATCATCATTCAACCATGTCATTTTTGATCACTGGTTCAGCGATCCTGAAGGTAGATCAGTTTCACTCAACCAAGGATATACGTAGCCAGCGATAGGTTCATCGTCGATGATCTTGGTGGGTTGTGATTACCCAGCTCGTGGCTAACAATGAATAACATGCCTACGCGGCGTCATTGGCTGATCATCAGTATCTGTACTTATTTATAGCTAATCTATGCTCACAGCTATGGGTTGAAAATCACAGCTTGTTTCCAGGCTGACCCTTCATGGACCACTCTCATTGCTGCGACAACCTAAGGCGTAAGAATACATTGGGTACCCGGGTGCCGCAAGATCAATGAATCACGAAAGGGAAGCTAACAAGCAAAGGGGCTATGGTACGTCATGATTTTGAATTCATTTCTGAAACAATTAATCCCTGCTAGGGACTCAGTCTTCCACTGTAATTTGGCTGCATTCACCAAGCCACACGGTACACTGCAAAAGAGCGATTAACCGAACCTCAGATGCAATGTACAGCCACAGAAACTTGCACGATGGACACCGATTTGAACATGCAAGCGACGGATGCGCCTACAAAAGGCTATCTATAACACTGAACGTTCAAAACTCTGTCGTTGCCGCGGGCTGTGGGGCTGGCTTTCGTCCCCGCCTTCTCAGGCATAATATAATGTCACAGAACATACTGACATACCGTTAACATACCCTTTTTTGGGGGGGAACATGGATATGATCTGCATATGATGATTCTCCACCTGGAATGACAGTTTCCTCTGTCGCCTGAGACTTGGGGCTGATCGCGATGCGTCGGAGATGGACCTCCGGTGTTGCTTCCTGCGCAGGGCTGTGGAAGTTCACCCGCGCGACAGGACGTCCTATCTGCGTCCAGCAGTCGTGAATCATAGGGCTCCCAACTCACCACTGGCAACCTGACAATATCTGACAAGTTCATGCCGGCTTCCAACACTTGACACATTTGATCATTATGACAGTAGGCTGCGGATGCTGAAACTTGAAAGGACCGGGAATCTCATTCTGTCCCGCGTGGAAGCCTTTTGCAAGGTCTGCCCGTTGTAGTTCAAACTGCCATGCATGTGGAATTGTAGTAGTCACATGTACTCACATCGATGCAAAAAGTGAAAGGTTTCTTGTAACATATTGTAACTAGTTATCCTAGCTGGTGATTGTCATATTTACCAAGATCAGTTCCTGTTTGAACATGTAAATCGTAGCTGCACACTGTACATGTTCTGTTTCTTTGGTCCTTGGCAGGTGGCTGCGGCCTGGACTGAATTGCGAGATCTGGGCTCGAGATGGAGATACGACATGGCAGCTCGGTTTTCTGCTTGGCAACCACGACGCGCCCAGTAGAAGTAGTAGCTACCATCGTTGCCATCATCATTCAAACATACTCAGGAAAGACGACCACGGAGATATATTTCATAGGGAATAGATGCGATAGATGCGACGGCCATTTTGTTTCCAAGGAACTGCAGGCTGGCAGAGGGAATTTGAGCTCAAGCAGCCCGACGCCCCACAAGACGCCGCCGATGGATGTAGAGAAGGCCCTCCGAAACCCGACGTCGCAATGCTTTCATGATAGAAGAGAATCACATGGAATCACCATGGTTGGCATTGGCATCTTTTGAAGGGTGCTAGGAACAATTGAGTGGAAGGCACTTGGGATCTTCGCTTTTGAGCTCACAACTTAGCCTTAGCCCGACTGTCTGCTTTGACTGTGGGTTCCAACGACAGTTTAGCAGAAGCTATCAGCTTCTTAAAATCCTCAGGACATGGGTATGCGCCAAGAATAATTTGCCTGTGAGGGCCTTGGTTGGTTGCAATGCAGTTTTGGTCGTCATTTAGAAGAACAGTCAGTGCGATCAGGGCAAGGACCATTATCAAACCAAACCACATTATCAGATATTATCAGGACATATCAGGACATATCAGGACATACTGTTCTGAGAATACTGCCATGCTGCAATATGCTGCAATGCTTTCCAACAGCGGAACTGCAAAGAAATGCAAACATACCATGTGAGGCAGAAGACTTCGAGCCAGTTCTCCGCGAAGCTCAAGAGTTGGCGAGCGGCTGAACCTTTCCACGTCGTGGCACCGTTGTGAGATTGCTGCGAAGTCTCTGTGTGGTAGATCCATGACTCAGGTTGACAACTCAAAGGAAATTGCCACACTTCCAGACAGTGAGGTAGGACTCTCAGAGGGTCATTCATGAATTTCATGAGTTCAACAAAGTTTGCCATCCATAGCAGCGCTGGAGGTCACTGCCACAACGGTGGCCTGTGGTATGGCCGTTTCGGCCGGTCTATTGGCTGCAGGATGTGTGGCATCAGCCGCTGGCTATCCCACCCTAGGACTGCTCAAGCGTTGGAGTTTGACTTTGCCATAAAGCTCTTGGGGATCACATTTTGCTCAACTGCTCTGACCCACGAAGTCTTTGCCTGTAACTTGACCTCGTAAACACCTGCTTTTACGGCCTTGTTTGGTGTCACTCGGAGAGGATGTTGCCAGCTTTCCAGACTGCCTCCGCGACGCGCGACGCCAGGAAATCATGTGCGCAAAGGGGCAGTTTACCAAGGAGCAGACTTGGTCCAAGGTGGGACGAGCCCGGACGAGCCCGGACGAGCATGTTTTTTTCACTTTTTTTCTTTATCAGAGAGAGCTTTTGCTCTGCTCTTTAAAGAGAAGACTCTGTGTGAACACTTGCGCAGGCGCACAACAAGAGGCAGGTGCCTCTTTGGTTCGATGCTAGCACAACGGTTCGCCCTGCAACAGCTCTGCAGGTCTCCACCGAGCAAGATCATTTGCAGGAGGATCCTTGGAGTCTTCTCTTCGGTGTGGGACTTGGGACCTTGGTGATCTGAATGGATGTATATAAAGATGTGTAAAAGCCTTAGTAATGCTTAGCATATGGAATCGAAGGCAGATTCTTGGTTTCTCTTTGCACCGAGGTGGGATGTCCTGCTTGCCTTGCCAGAGATCGTGCCTGTACAAAGCCGGAAAAATCATTACAAAGAAGGCAACCCCTTGTGGACTGTGGCTACATGTTTCACCAGATCCAGCAAACTCTTCAAACCTTGCGACTAGTGCCTGGTCGCCAGGAAATCCGTTTGGGTCACTCCGAAAACCTTTCTGACGGTGATGAGGCATGGGGAACATGTGAAAGAAAACATGTTCTTCGTTGATCAAGAAGGGTGCGACGTGCCCTTGTCTTGCTTTTCCAAGTCTTGAGAGCGAAGATCCGAGTCAATACAAAGTTGAAGAGTACCAGACAAAGAACTTTGCAGAGGGCAGCTTTGGACAAAGTTTGCCTCTCTTTGAGGATGGTCGGGTCATCCTGCCTGGCGATATTGTACGGATCATGCGAGGCGTGCAGGCAGGAAGATATTGGACAATGGCATACAATGGCATACAATGGCATACAATGGCATACAATGGCATACAATGGCATACAATGGCATACAATGGCATACAATGGCATACAATGGCGACACTGATTGAACATGACAATTCTCCCACCTTTGCAGGGCCTGCAGGGGCGCTTGGGTGAGGTCGTCAAGGCTGTGTCAAAAGGCACTTGGGTGTACAGCTGGGAGCTTCTGACTCGCGAAGATCCCTTTTGGATGTCCTTCTGGGAGAAGTTGAAGACCCTCTCTACTAGTTCATCTCATTACTAATTCATACTAATTTTACTTAATCAAGACTTGACTCTGATCTACTCCAGTTTTCTTCCTGAGCCAACACTCTTGAAAGTTGCACTTTCTGGCATGTTTTTTCTGTTCAATACAGAGTCTTGAGGCGTTTGTGAGGGAGTCCACCATTTCTGCTGATTTGTTCTGCTTATGCCAGGAGCTTTTCAGATTCGATTGCGTCCTCCTGCAGTCAGGCCCTTGACTGTCAGCCACAGGGTTCATGACATGTCCCAAGCAGAGACTTGTATCAACATCCTCATATCAGCATCCCTGTATCTGTATCAACATCCTTGTATCAGCATCATTAGCAAAAACAGCAACAACGAGAACAACGACAACAACGACAACAATGCTTACGATTCACAGCTCATGATACATTTTGTTTTCTTTCAGCATCATTATATATTATAGATTGTTAGTAGTCATCCTGGAAATGGACAGAATAGTAAAGGTCATGTTCCAATGGTTGTTTTGTGCAGGCACGGTGCTGAGCCAGAGATCCTTGGCGTTCAGAAGGTCAAGATTGCAGTGGCCTTTGTCTTGGTAGTCGTCACATAGTTGAAGTATGTTGAAGTCCAGAGTGGTGACACCAAGGTCCAATGACAAAAACTTCATAGTGGTTGTATTTGTTAGTTTTTTTGGTAATTTTCAAGATTTTGTATCCTCTTTCCTTTGCAGAGATTTTTTTTTTGCAAGTGGGCATTGATTTGCGGGAAATCTGTTTACCTCATCAGCTGGGTATAAACAGCAAAGCCTAAACGACCCAGGAAGAGTGGCAAGATCATCAGTGTTAGCAAGCGGAACCTGGAGCTGGCAAACGCCCCATGGTTCAAGAATTGACGGTGCAATGTAGATGCAGGAGGTCAGAAGAATCTGTTATATTATGTTATATACTGTTTTAATGGCATATATATATATATACATACAAGTATAATGTATACATTTTGCTTGGATTGTCCTTTTGTTTTGCTAAGGACAACCCGTTTGACGGTGCTCGTGAGGGTGCTCCGGTGAGTAGCAGTCAATTCTTGTGATGCTATTTAATCTGGCTGTGGTTCACCCCCTTTCTTGGGTTCATTCTTTAGCTGGCCTACAGCTAGGATCTGGGCTTTGCTTTTGCCCTTGGTCATTAGGGGAAGTCCCCTCAATTCGGGGATTTGAAGCACTGGTTCAAAGTGCATTTTCAGCCCAGAGCTGCGAGCCCGAACGCAAAAGAAGGGTACAGGGGAGCTGTGGCGACGAGACCACGACTGAGTGCTGAACCGACAAGACTAGTGCAACAAGAGAATGGTCCTGCACCACACTTTCCTCATAATTCTATATCTTTCTCCATCTTTCTTCTTCTATTCTATTCCTTCCTGCATTGACTACAGGCTTGGAAGGTGCACAGCTGCTTGAGGATGATACTGATGAGCATGTTTCACTCCCACATTTCTTGAGCCCAGAGACTTTCGACATCTTTTTGCAGCTCATTGTGACGAGGACTGCTAGAGTTGAAAGACCTGGAGAGCCTGGGGTTGTGGACTCTCAGTCGGTGCCTGAGCGCCAGCATCCGGGTCACGGGTGTCGCTGCGAGTCGTGTCTTCGCGAAGGTTGCGAGTGCTTGGTGCCCGGAATCTTCGCGTCCTGAGCTCAACAGATCGTGCTGTCTTGGTGTCAACATTTGGTAAGTCGCAAGATTGCCACGTAGTCGCAAGATGATTTTCAGCTGCAAAGATGGATAGGTCGCGGACACGTCAGTTTTTCCGGAATCTCCCAGCGGCCACTCCGACTCACTGGCATGTCTTTATTGTTTGCGTTCTTGTTTTTCTTGTTCTTGTTTATCATCATCATCATCATCATCATCATCATCACCACCACCAGCATCATCATCATCATCATCATCATCATCATCATCATCATCTTGTTCTTGTTCTTGTTGTTCTTGTTGTTCTTGTTGTTCTTGTTGTTGTTGTTGTTGTTGTTGTTGTTGTTGTTGTTGTTGTTGTTGTTGAATTGTTGAATTGTTGAATTGTTGAATTGTTGAACTGTTGAACTGTTGAACTGTTGAACTGTTGAACTGATGAACTGTTGAACTGTTAAACTGTTGAACTGTTGAACTGTTGAACTGTTGAACTGTTGAACTGTTGAACTGTTGAACTGTTGAGCTGTTGAGCTGTTGAACTGTTGAACTGTTGAACTGTTGAACTGTTGAACTGTTGAACTGTTGAACTGAGGAACTGTTGAACTTCGGTGTTGGTGTCGCTGTGTCGCTGTTGTTGCTGCTGTTGCTGTAGTTGTCGCTGTTGCGCTGAAGACTGCCTTGTTGGAATGTATTGTAAGTTTTCTGTTGTTTCGGTTGTAATCGCGGCTGGGTTTTTGCGCGGCCTAACCTGTAGAGCACCTCGTGACAGGATGCGCCTGCAAGGCTGGTGGGAGAAATCTGCGCTCGGTCGATCCTTTCTCAGATTGCCAAAGATGAGAAGGACACGTTTGACTTGCAAATTGCACAAATTGGTTAGCGAAAGGCGATTCCCATGATTTGCGCATGTGTTTGGCATGGGTCTGCTTCGAATATCCTTTTTCTCATTGCATGACACGTCGGGAAACAACAACAACAATGCTTGACTGGTTGGCCAGCCCTTGGACTTGCGGTCCGCTGTTTGTGGGCAGATGGTCTTTGGAGTCTTTGGATGCCTTCGGTTTGAATCCGTTGAACCAATAAAACTCTGAGACTGCATTTGAGTCATTGAGAAAGGGTGCATGCCTGTAGTGTAGGGATTTTGTTAGGCATGCGCAAGTTTCCTGACGTACTTCATTGTTTCGCTCGGAATCGAATGAAACATATGCACATTTGTTAACTGCTGTGTGTCCTTGCAGTCGAGGAGCAGCTTCGTAAGAGTGGCGGGCTTTCTGTTCAGCTTCGTGGGTGCCCCGAAACGCTGTTAGCAAGACCGTAGCTGACGGAATGGCTTTGTGCAAAAAAAACAATGTATGGAAATTCTCATGGGGAAAGGATTTTCTTGAGCATTTTGATTTTGGGTAGCCTATTTTCAGACCGTTTCCGACAAACTGGACTGGCTTCAATATGCCTCAATCAATTTTTGCGAGGTACCCGGTGAGGATGCCACTCAGAGGCTTTGGTACCAACGGTTTTCAGGGTGACCGAGCCGCGATCCTATCCAAAAAAGTGCTACAGATGAAGCCTCTTTGGACTCCTTGGCATGAGCCAAGAATCAAAAATCTTTTGGACATCTTTGGACCGCTTGGGGAATTCCTGTAACTCTTGGTGCTTTTGAGGTGAAAAACACCTTGCGATCTTTCTTCCAGCTAGGTGGCAGGATGGTTGGAAACTGAGACAGATTCGGGATGGAACTTTGACCTCTGTAGCACCTGCGATTCCTGCAATTGTCATCAGATCGACACAGCCGTGCTCTACGAAAACCACCGCGAGATTGGCGAAGCCCTTGCAGCTGGTACGGTGCCACGGGAAGAGGCTCCAAGCACAAAGAGTGGAGAGGTTTCCAGTTGGGGATGGGTCCATATCTATGATTTTCCAATATTTTTCGTGAGTTTCCGATGAGGCAATGAACATCCGGCATCATCCAGCTATATTATATATATAGGCTATACCCGCTACCAGTAGTTTGGTGTGACAACCGAGGGTGAACAGGATACCGAGCCATGCTTTCGCCAGGTCTTCCTTGTGACAAAAGTTCCTCCGACCGAGATGGGTACGGATGAAACTTATGCTGCTGTCCTGAGAGCGGTGAAGGAACTTGGAACTCCCATTGATTTGGTCTGCTGCTGAGCTTTTAAAAAGATCCACACAAGGGAAAACACAGGTCCCAGGTGGCTTTAAAGATTTTGGAGACTTGGACTCAGCAGTTGGAACTAGTTAACTAGTTGAACCTTTGCTTATGGCAGGTACTTCTGCATTGGCCATCCAATTTCGATAAGAAGGCTGGAGATGGCTGGAGATGGCTGGAGGGTTGATGGTGCCTCTTGTTTTCGATGATTTTCTTGGGTGCGGGTTGCTGCAACAGGCCCGCAGCTCTAGGCTCCATCCAAGAGTTATCCCCCATAAAACGTTGAAACGGTCTGTTCCAGTTGGCAACAAGACTAGAAGATACTAGAAGTATATCGACCGTTTCACCTTCTGAATTCAATGTCGCGATGTTTGGTTAAAATGGCCCTAGAGTAGCAGATACAGCCTACATCCAACCTTCGGGTGTCCCATGGCTTAGCCCTGCCGAGGCACCCCTTCCTCCATGTGCAGCAACTTCTTGGCGAAGTTGTCGGCTTCAAGCCTGGCGCGGTCTGGAACGGGCGCAGAAAGAGGGGAAGGTGCCAAGTGCTGCTGGTTTCGGTTCCGAAGACATCAAGAGATTTGGTCATATCTTGCTCAATCTGCCACTGCAAGTGCCGGTTTGTATCATAGTTCTCCATAGCCATTTGGGTTTGTCATGTCTGAAAATTGGATATAATATGATATAATTATAATTATATTAATAATATTAATATATATATATATTTACCCCCAATATATAGCATTATATAGCCATATAGTGATGATTGACCATTGGATTTGGGGGTAGCCATGTCAGGTGCGCGCCCTGGGCGTGTCCAACTTTGGAGTGCGACACCTTACTGAGCTTCTTGCGGATGGCCCTAAGCTGCACATCGCCGTCAACCAGGTGCCATGGCTTAGCGGCTTAGCGTTGTCGGAGTGGCTGGAATCTGAACTGAACTATGGTGATTTTATGTTATTTTAGCGGATGAAACCAACACACTAGATTTGGAGGGCACCCTATTTTCCGACCCCGTTTGGAACTTGAGATCTGCAATGTGGGCAGGTGGAAATGCATCCTTGGTGGCCTCAACTTCCATTGCAGAAGCTGCTGGCTTGAAATGTGTCAGAAAATATAGGGATTCCAGGGAGACATTTTTCCGGTGACTCAGGTTCTGCCGCGAAAAACATATCAAGCTGATGGCCTCTTTGGCTTTAAGTTGGGAGATGTTGGGAGTTCTTCCGGTGTCGAAATGTACGGACTGCAGAATTTACGTGATAAATCTTGCTTCAGCAATGTCTCAACATGTCTCAAGTGTAAGCGATTCTTTTGAGATCCTTATTTTGATGAACACGTCAGCACAAGTCCGAATGGCAAGGGTCGATTTCCTGCCTTGCTAGGCCTATGGCTCGCTGGGAAGCTCTTTGTTGGGTGGTGCTACACTACGCTCACCAGCCACATCCTTGGTGTGCAGCACAACCTGGCAGCATGGCAGAGATCTGCTGAGGCGGTGGTGAAGGTGGCCAAACGAGTGGGTCGATCAGCCGCGCAGGTCCGACGAGGAACTTTCATTAAAGAAATTTGAAGAATTTCCAGATATTTGAACTTTCAATTGCACCATTAAACCACGAAGTTGGCCATTTGAACTGGAAACAATTTGTGCTATTGGAGGTTCTATTGCGATGGGCCGTGCAGCAGGGTATTGCAGTGATCCCGTTCGGGGCCTTTGTTTCCGCATCATGTCATCACGAGATTGGAGAGAACGAACTTGTTATGCTGCACTATGGCCTAGGGCCCTGACCCGTCGGTTCCTACCCCATTCCATTCATCAAACCAGTGAAACCTTCTGTATTGTATCCTCCTTGTTTGACCGACAAACGGGAAATGGGTTTCAAAGCGCTTCGAGATTTCGACTCTTTTCTGCTGATTTATGCTGTAGAACAGCTCGAAATAGAGGAGGCATGCCACCAGATGCCATGTTCCCAAACACAAAGGCTCCACAGCAAGACAACCAGACCTGCACCATTTCAATGACAGACCTAAGCATCCTAAACCATCAAGAGTCTACGTAGGCATAGGCGGTTTCATCTTGATGTTTCACCGTTTAACCGTTTAACCCACACCAGTCATTCCATGTCATTCCAACATATTTCGCATTTCGACCATGGATGGTGAAGCCATGCTGTGATGGCTTCCACCAGGCATGGTTTCTGCATCTCAAGTCTCAAGCATCGATATTTTACAACATGTTACAACAGTAATGCGATCTGGATATGTCAAGCTGTGCCAAATGGGTGAGGTCGTTTCGAGAGGTGAAGCTTTGGATGTTGACAGGTATGGGAAGGTTTCGGATGACCTGGAGCTCAGTACTCGTTCCCGGAATCCACAGGCCGGTTTTTTGTTTGCCTTGAACCCAGAATCAGATAATTTAGGCAATTCAGAAAGGCTGTTTTGTCATCCTTGGCCTGGCAGATGCAAGTGCTAAACATCCCAAAGCATCCAGACCATTGGCTCTCCCAACATATCTCTGAGAGAGAGAGAGAGAGCAACGAAATGGGTCAGCTGTAGCAGGTTCGTGATGTCCGGTGGTTGCCACCCGATGAGGCCGGGGGTTGCAGGGATCAATAGGAAATTGCCGGGCAGACATCAATAGGAACGCAAGGAAGAAGGATTGTTCTTGGTTGAAAGTAGAAGTTTGGAGCTTTTGATGTTGCAAACATCCACCATTCCGCAAGTTTCTGCATCATTTTGTTCTACCTTAACTTATAGTCTTATAAATCTTATATAGTCTTATAAATCTTATATACATCTAATATCATTGATTTCCCCCAAAAAATCGCTTCAATGATCCAATGAACAGCAAATGCTATGGTGCTCAAGTTGCGCCCAGGATGACCGCCGTGGAGCGCAGGACTCACGGTGGTCTGATGGATTTTAGAAAACAAGCTGAACGATGCCAACACAACAAAATGTGCAGAATGCAGAGCAAGAATTCCGGAGCTGGTAAAACAAGCATCCGACTGAAGTCCGCCAATTTTGGGAGGTTTTCGATCCGTAAGCACATTGCGCTGATAGGACCTGCAGGCCAGAGCCTTGCTGATCATTCGACGGATGACGGCGTTTCAGAAGGCAGCGGTTTTGTTGTTGAAGCTGAATGAAAAACAGTGGTGCCATGACCATGAAGTCCATGAAGTGCTATTAAAAGGCGGAAAGAAGCCAACACGCCCTTCATAGACTCTGCTCTTGACCCTACGCGTGTCTTTCTTGCAGGCATGCGCGGGCATTTGCATACTTTTGACTCTGGTTTGGGCGTCCCATCCTCAAAACAGCATCTTCCGAGTGTTGTGTCGGGGTTCTGATTTCAGACTGCAGCGCATTTGCAGCACACTTTGGTGCAAGGATAAGCCCTTCGCTGCTTGTTTGCACTGATATGCTACAATTTGATCGCTCTACTCCTCTGACCATCCTCTCACATCGATCCATCTTCTCAACATGAAGTATGATGCAGAGAGCAGGATCGTAGAATGCTGATGTTTTGTTCCATTTTTTTTCAAGCAGTCACTTCAATGTTGCAGTGAGCGTTGTGGAAGGTCCAGCCCAGAGTCGCAGCTAAAGCCCCTTGCGCATGGCTCTTTTCGGAGTGGAGGTGCAATCTTAGAGGTGGTGAAGGATTCGCCAATCTATGCTACAGCAACTTGGCAGAACTGCCCATCGAAGTGACAAACTCTGGTCTTATACGTATGTGTATGATGTATTATGATGCAACATATATAATTGTCACCTTAAGCATGTAAACTTCATAGAATCCTGAATCGAGAACAATAGCTAAATTATATCTGACTCACGTGAAAGGAAGGTCAAGAGGAATCAGTGGAATTCTCAAAGCAAACTGGCATGAACTTGCTACCATTGAGGAGCGTGATGGTAGTGGGATCAAGCCAGATGCGGTGGTTGGTCAGGCCAGGATCAGAACAGGATCTGGTGTTTTGCTCCTATGCTTTAACCAGAATCCAGATCTATCTAGATCTACCTAGTATATAATAGTATAATAATATAATATTATTTTATGTGATTCTCTATCATGAAGGCAGCGAACTCTAGTAAGTACCTGTGCATGCTTTGGGCCACACTTTACAAAATGGTTGAACAGCATTAGTTCAGGAATCGGAATGTTGGCCGTACAAAAGTGAAGGATCTGGAAGGATGTAGACGGCACGGTACTCTGCAAAGAGAACCATCCTTGGAAACGAAGCAAACAAGATAGCGGGCGCGGCCTAGTGGGACAAGGTCTAGCAACGAAGCGAATGTGTGGTATGTGTCTGTATGATCACATGTACACACAAAGCTACGAGTCAAAACCCTGGCACCCTGATGAACGCAAAAATAGGTGGTAAATGGATGTTCATCTTCCCCAAATTATGGTACAATAGGGTTTTGACCCATCCCCATATAGAACGAATATGGTGCTAGTTCATGATATTCCATTGATGCTGTAATTGTTACTGAAACCGACTGCCGCACGAGCCCTTGGAATCCCTTGGAGGTCTTCGCAGGGCACCTGATCGAAGCAGGGCCTTCAATCATGTTCCACGGTTTCAAGTACATCCTCCTGGAAAGAGGTGGTGCGATTCCAGTCATTGCCCCCAGACGCCCATGAGGCCCCCAGTCATTGGCGTTTTGAAATGGCGACACGTTTCGAACGCTGAGAATTTCGTGTTTGACCTGAGGCAGCCAGCGTGAAACTTGCAGACCCAGCAGATGCTTCTCGATTCCGCACAGAGACGCTGGAGCGAAACCCAGATGTATCGATATTGGGTTTGTCTGAAAATTGGACACCCCTAAATTTGGTGCTTTATCATCATTTTCCTTCTTCGTACCCTTTTCAGACACACCCGTATTTGTTGACTGGTTGAGTTGACGCATTCGGTCAAAGACTCTTAGCAGCTGTCTTAGCATTTCTGAGCCCTCCAGCGCAGGCCCAGCAAGAGGCAATGCTAGCTGAAGACTACAATCAGGTAGCGATCGTACCAGGCAGGGCAATCCACAAGAAATCTGTCCCGTCTGTCTCGTCCATATTCGGCGAAACTGGGATGACGTCATCTTGGAATGTGGTTCCCTGCGAACAGTTCCCTGAGCCAGGCACCGCGTTGCAGGCGGCTTTTTTGCAGGAAGATATCAGCTCTTGTTGACGGAAGACTGTGCAAGTCAAGCTACCTTGGTAAGTAATCCCTTGGCTGACTCAGTTCTTTTTTACACAGTATATTATAGATATATATTATTCTGCTGTATCAATTCATTTGTTTTTCATGAGTTGCAACCATCCTTGGAAACTAATGGAGGTCGTGGAGCATGGCCCTGTCTACGAAATGGACGAGAACGGAGTTGTTTGGGGTGCGGAAATTGGCGAGGCTCGCTAGACGTGGTAGAGATGGTAGAGTGGTAGGCACATGGTCATATTTGTCATGTGGACGGTGGATTAGTAAATCCTGGTTCAATCTTTTCGGGGGCCCACCCCCCAGCCCTTTGTAAAGTGATAAGTTGCCCCACAAATCGTATTCCGGGTGGAGAAGAGTTTTTAATCCAGGGCTGACATAAAGCCGAAAAATCATCAGTTTCACGCTGAGGTCATTCCCGGCCAAATCGTCCATGCGGCTGGCGCCCCTGTTATTGAAGACGGGCACACCACCGTCAGCTTGCAGACGGGCGGAGCCATTGATGTTAGTACCATGGCCGGCAGCAATATGGTTGTGTGATCGTGATGTTATCTTCAAAGAGCCCACAGATTGATCGGGAAGAATGTAAAGACATGTAAAGACTACATAGTCTCCATGGACATCTATTGAACCTTTTGGCACCTTGGAATTGACTGGTCCTCCAAACGCAAAGGCTTGGTTCAAGTTGCGGAGCTGCAACATCCTGATGAGGCATCAGTGCATCAGCAGAACTAGCAAAGCTTTGGATTTTGTACTTGCTGTTCCTTTCTTTGAGTGAAAGTTTGGCTGCTCTTTGTTCAGGACATGGTAGAGAGGCAGGAGTACCCTCCAGAAGACATTCATGGAGGGCATCATTTCCGAGGTGGAGGGCAGCCTGAAGGTAGGGAGGAAGCCTTTCCAGAACATGAAGGTGAAGGATTTGAAGGTCACGAAGGACAAAGCTTTGAAGGACACGAAGGGCAAGGCTTTGAAGGAAATGAAGGACAAGGCTTTGAAGGACATGAAGGACAAGGCTTTGAAGGACATGAAGGGCAAGGCTTTGAAGGAAATGAAGGACAAGGCTTTGAAGGACATGAAGGACAAGGATTCGAAGGGCACGAAGGATTTGAAGGACATGAAGGGCAAGGCTTTGAAGGACATGAAGGCTCTGAAGGACACGAAGGACCAGGATTTGAAGGACATGAAGGCTTTGAAGGACACGAAGGACCAGGATTTGAGGGGCATGAAGGACCTCAAGGAGAAGGATTCGAAGGACACCAAAGATATGTAGAACATGAACGAGAAGGACATGAGCCGCATGAATTTGAACACCCTCCGGGTGAGCCTGGAGCAGAGGGAAGCGAGCCACAGGAGCCACAGGAGCCACAGGAGCCACAGGAACCGCAGCCTGAGGGTCAAGAAGCCTACCAAGGCCATGGGGCAAAGTTCCCCGACCATCCAGGTGACCCAGGTGAAGCGGGAAACCCAGAGGAACCTGGGCGTTCAGATCCGGGTGCTGAAGGAGCTGCCTTCGAAGGTGAGCCAGGGCTGGTACTGCTTAGATGGTCTCAGACGTTCTTTTAACATGTTTAAAACTCTCTGGTGATGATATGTGCTGATACAGTATTCTTATGTATTCTTGAGATCTTTTGGCTCAGGGTCGCACTTGGGGCAAAAAAACACGGCCACTGAGAGTGACTGCAAGCTGTGTGACATTCTGACCGGAGTCCAGGTGAGCCTGGTGAGGAGCATCCTGGTGAACACCAAGGTGAAGAAATGCAGCCAGGGGAGCAGCCTGAGCCTGGTGCAGAATTTGAACATGAAGGAGGAGTAGGATAGAGCTTGATAGTTTGATGATGTTTGATGATGTTTGATGGAACAGATCTAACACAGATCTGGCACCTGAATCTGAAAATGCAACTTCACAGCGTCGGCAAGAGAAAAGGTGAGCGCAATCTACCACAACCTGACGCAGCATTGTGTTTCTTGATGCATTCTGTCAATATGAAGAGAAGTTGAGAGATGGAGAAACACCCTTAATAGGGTGCGTTGACGGAACATTTCCACTTGTCGCACATGTGCGTAGCCAGCGATTGAGAAATTCTTTGCCCATTGTGTATGTATGTGCCCAAGTGAAACGCTCCTAGCACTAGGTCAGACAGGTGTTCATGTTCCATTAGGAGCCACAGATCCTTTTCCCACAGGCGGTAGTCCCCACTTCCCAAACCCAGCCCTCAGTGGCCCTCAGTGGCCCTCAGGTCAAGTTCTTCCGTGGAAAGAATGAAAGCGAATTTGGCGATCCTTGACTGGGTGCGGTCCCTCAGAAGCGAACCTGGGCGAGTTTTTCCTGAGGTCTTGCGCGGAAGAATTCGGATGAGGTGATGAGGTGTGATTCCAAAGTGGAGTCTAGCATGATGGCCACAATGGCGAGTTTTAAGTACGCGCGTTTATTGAATTTTATTGTCATGGTTTTTGGAGTAAGCTGTTGACAGGAGGCTAAACACATTTTTCTTCTAAGGTGTTTTGGATGTGTCCGATATTGAAAGCAGCATGCAGGCACTCAACGACATACCAAGACATAGCGTGACGGCCGAGGACCTCTCAGCAGCTGACATGCAGGATCTAAAAGCCGGATCCTCGGGCTTCAGATGCAGGAGCAGCATCAAATCCCATGAAATCCCCAGATTGGATGCGGATCCAAGGTCTACCCTGCAGATAGAATGCGCATTTTCTTACCTGATCCAGAGAATGCGCCGTAGTCGCAGAGCGTTAGGGCCTCCTTGGAATGGCTCAAAAGCAGACCTTCCCGGGTCGTAGCAGCGCTAGATGATCCGCGCAGAAACGACTACTCTTTGTTTGCTGCCAGACCTAGGACTAGTTAGTGGGGTCGCTTGCCGAGTTGGTGATCAAAAATCTGTTTCTGCAGGTGCAAAGCGGCTTGATTCGCGAGGGGCCGGCCAAGAACCAAGACTGCTTGGACTTGATGAGTTCAATCGCTTCCCGGAGCCAATCCCATCCCCTGTTGTAAATGCAAGTTAGGTCAATCTTCATGGTGCAGAAAGAAGGCTTGGCATTCTCCCTCGAAGACTCTTTCGCAGGTTTCTGGTCTGTGAGTTGTGACCAAAGTCAGGAATCTGAGCTGACAGCTAGAGATTCTAGAAGTCTCTTTTCAAGCTTGGCTCAAGACATGTGTAGATGATCTGTAGATGTAGTATTTCAGTTTTTCGCTAGTCATTTGGACTTTCGAGTTTCTGTTCTTTCGGCATGAGGACCTTTATCCTCATGTTTTTTTGCGCTGTCAAAGGAACTCTTGTGCCGCTGGATGATGTGAAGCAAGCTGTCCAGCCAGTGTTGGATGAGATGGCTCTGAAGTACAACATGAGTTTCAGCTTTGGATTTACGAATCCGGCTGGCCGTGTAGCCCTGGCGGCTGGTGTCGACAGTGTTTGGAGCAAGACGCCGCTACACCCAGACTCTTTGATTCCGCTAGGCTCTGTGACAAAAGCCTGGACAGCCGTCATGGTGATGCAGGCAGTGGAGGCAGGTCGACTTTCCTTGGAGGATGCAGCGGCAAGGTGGATTGATCCAGTCCTTCAACGTTTATACCACAGCAGCATGGAAAAGTTATGGGGGAAGATGCTCATCTCATCAGGGTCAGAGATTTAATGGGTATGACCAGTGGCATAGCTGACTATGATGACTTCTTCATGGAGCACTTTACCTTCAAATTTGCTGGTGATGATGCTGGACCATTCTTGTACCTGAAGAGCGCTGCAAGGCAAGGTCTGACATGCCGGCCTCGTTCGAAAGCTGTGTACTCTGGGGCCAATTATGTGCTCTTGGGCTTCCTATTGGTTGAGGTCCATCAAATGTGGTCGTGGCAAGATCTGGACCAACTCCGAGCGATTCCAAACAATCTGATGCACTCTGGGCGCTATTCGCATACAAGCTTTTCTCGCTTGGGACGTTGCATCCAGTACTCAGGCTTTGCACATCAATATGCCTGGAAGTCCTGGGAGTTTGAGAATAACACACAGACATTTGAAGACCTGGCATACACCTCCTGCCTGAACGGTTGGACTATGGGCAACCTTGCGAGTTCTGCAGTGGACTTGGCCACGTTCTTCTTCGACTTGTTTTCGCTACCAAAAGAAAAGGGTGGTTTTCTGAGTCACAAATCACTCACAGAAATGACCACGTTCAAGAGGCTGAACGACACGTGGTGTGAGGGCCCAGGAGGACCCGGATCTTGCTCTTACGGTATGGGGATCCTAACGAACCAACTTGGACAAGACTTTTGGGTCTTGCAAGATAAGTCTGCGGATGAATCTGCTGTCAAAGTGCTTGGGCATCCTGGTGAGGACTGGGGCAGTGGATGCTCCCCGTGTGGTTTCAATCCAAAATATGGTTTTGGGATTTGCATGGCCTACACCAGTGTGATCGGCATGAATTGCAGTGCAGATTTCCAACTGAACTTCGGTGCAGTTCAAGAGGCGACTTGCTTGGCCTATGATGCCGTGCTTGGCCTCTTTGGTGCTCCAAGATTGAACTGCACCAATCCCACGATAGCACATCCACCGCAAGTCGTCAACTGCACCTGGTCCAGGCAGGACAACAACCACTCCGCTTTTTTGCTGGAGACCAATCTCGCTGACACTGAGACTGCGGTCATAATTTGATTGCCAAGTTTGAATCTTCCAGTGCAGCTGCTTAGCAGTGTTGCGGAGCCTAAAACATGCTTTGTTTCACATCAAGGCTTACACCAGGTAATCAGATGTACTCAGCCCACACTAGGGAATGTGATTGTTCAAAATTCAAAACTCAAACCTCTCGAAGATCCTTCAAATTGAAATGCCTCTCTACTGGGAGTGCAAGAGTGTATTGTTTACGTCAGCCTTGACTTATGCTTTTGTACAGTGTCGGAGTGTGACCACTTGGGCTGCACTAGCCAAAAGTCTACCTACTTAGATGCCTTTGTCCGTCCACAATGATATTCCGTGTTGCTTCCTCATGAGATCGCAAGCTGCTCTCTACTAGTGCTGGACACTCTCAACATGGATTTGCTTCTCAAGCACAACGCAGAACGTGATTGAGTGCAGATTCAACACTTTCCACAGGCTGCATACCCTTCTGCAAAGAAGGTGTGATTATATTTCTCGTAGACATATGCTTGCTACAGTTGCATTGTTATCTTTCATCATCTTTCATCTGTATTTGTGCCGAGACCTCAATTGTAAAGAAACAGACTATCCAGGTGCTGAGAAAACACTCAAAAACGATCCTGATGCCATGGACGTGGGCGACCTTGGCGACACAGCTGCGCTGCTTCTGACCTCGGCAGCATGGGCATGCGGTTTTGGTGTCGTTCACTACGTGCTCAGATTGACGTCCTCAATGCTACTACGGAATGAGGACCGGAAAGATCAGCACGAGTGGGCCAATTATGTCATATCTTGTACACAGGCGGCAATCTCTGGATTTGCCGGTGCAATGGGCTTGTTGATCGAGGAACCCTTCGCCACTTCCTTTCGCCGTGCAACTCGGTAGCATGTGATTGAATTATGTTTGTTTGAATTATGCGCATGTAACATATGTAATATATGTAATATTATGTAATACAGTAATATAAAACAATATAAATAGACATATATAGCTTGCGCTGGGCCGTTCATGGCCACTAAAACGTCACCTTTCATGTGCTCTAGCCTCGGGCCTCCCGGAAAAAACATATTCATACAAGGGCTGCCATGTTTTTATTTTTTGCAAGTTGTTGATTCTGCAAGTAGGTCTGCATGTTTGATGCGCCGATTGACACGGTGCATGGGCGTTCCTTGATCTTGCAGACAGCGATGCCGACGATTCTCGGATATTTTGTGTATGATTTGGCACTGGCCTGTCTGGTTTCCGAGACCTCAATGGAGAGACTGATCACAATCCACCATATCCTTTGTGTTGTAGTGTGGCCAATCAGCTATCATTACCAAGCTGGTTGCTTCTACCTCCTGTACATGATGGCTGCAGAACTAAGCACACCATTTTTGTGGTTGGTGGTGTATTTCTTGCCGCGGTATAAAGTCACTGGGCCATTCTACATCTTCATGGGCCTTGTGATGGTGCTCGTGTTTTTTGTCATTCGCGTCCTTCCCGGACCAGCCCTGTTGAATTCACTCATCTCGTCTCAAAGTTACTGGAAAGACGTGAACACGCCGGTTTACGCACTGGCCATGGTGACTTTGCCACTACCAAGTCTCTTGTTCACTTACTGGTTTGTCCGAATTCTGCAAGGCATGGTTGGGGCCCTTGCTGGCCCTGACAAGAAAGAAGTTTGACGAATAAAAACCTAATGTTATAAATATGCAACTTCCTCATAGACATGCCACTTCTTGTCGTAGGTTGCTTCACTTTTTCCTCCCGCTCTGCTCTTCTCCTTTTGAATGTTTGCAGTGGAGCGGAAGATGTTGGAGCAGCATTGAGGAGCACAGAATGTGATCCCATCATCTTTCCAATGCTATCCTGGAAGAGTTCCAGGAGACAAGCCTGCCGCAGCATACAAAAAAGGATTGTGAGAAGCTGTAGTGACACAGTCTTTCTTCAACCTTCACACCCACAAAGCCTCAACATTTCGCGAATGGAGGTCCTTGCAAGAGTGCTTTTAACACCCCTTTAGAAGTTCTCTACGATTTCACAGCGCGATTTGATAAGTTTGCACAGCTGCTAGGTCTTTGAACTTGAACCTTGTCCAAAGCGTTGACTCCAAGACTCCAAGGACTCACGGTTTCGAGTGTTTTTTCTTAGCGGCAGTTGTAGAAGCTAGGATGAAAGGTCAAGGTTTCCAACTGATGCGTAGTGATCAAGTAAAGATTTTGGCAGGCTTGAGAGCTTTGGCAGATCCAGTGCCATTTTCAATCAAGTGCAAGTTGCCTAAGATTTTCTGAAGGACCAGCCCTTGATGCCACAAGCCTAGTGGAGACAATGCTGGCTTTGGGCAGAAAAGAATCTGCAGTTTGCAGAGCCGACTCAAATTATTTTTCACCTTGGATGGTCGAAAACTCTCGTGGTTTTCTGGCTCCAAGAAAGCAGATGCCGGTCCTACCGTATCCTACCAATGTTTTGTTAGACATGTAAGATGCATACAGTAGCTTGTTCAGCCTAATGAGCTCACTGAAGGTGCCAAGGATTCAATGATATTCAATGAGTCAGACTTGCCCAATTCATTACCCGATGCAGCTACGGGTGGGGCGATACTCTTGGTGCACTTGCTCAAAATCAGGCTGATTAGCCAAGTCCGGAAACTGTAAAAACTCCTTAAACACCTATAAACACCTGGTAGATCTATGAAGTTGTGAAGAGACTTCCATGTTCACCTCAAGGAAGGCCATGCTCACATTTTGCTCGAGCTCGAGCTGAGAATTAGCAGTTGGGCAGCAGATTCAAAAGCAGTACTGTATCTAGATTCAAAAAAAACAGGTTGGACATGATTGTCAAAATCTGGCCCACTGACCACGGCCCCACGGCTGCTTGTAAGACTTGTGACGCATGAAAGGAAGCAAAGTCGGTTCATAAATGACTGCATTGCTACTTGCACTCATCCGTATTACAGGTTTTTACCAGCGACTTGAAGCATACTTGAAGCAAGGCCCAGACCGGAAGATGCGGGTGCATCCAAAATCGATATTGAGGCGTGGTGTTAGGAAAATTGGCGTGGTGTTAGAGGTATATTATTATATATTATATTGACAATTTGTGCGACGGACATACAGAGCAAATACTACGTAACATAATGTGGTGATGTTGTTGTTCTTTCAATGTAACGCGGACATATCCGAACATACGGAAGCAAATGCAGCCATTTGACGTGCAGGTTGTCCAGATGCATGAAGCAATGGGCTAGTCAGCTCATTGCCCCCAAATGTCCGTGCAGATTTGATGTTTCAGGCCTACCGTTGAAATGTCCACTATGTAGCGAGTGTGAGCAAAAACTTGACATGTAGTTTCTGTGTTGTCCTTTAGCACGTCCAGATGCACAATAATGCACAATATTTCAGGTGCAACAGGGAAGCATTCGTTGCGTTTCTTTGTGGTTGGTGGCTTCAGTGGCTCGGAATGTATTTGCCGTCGACCACCATTGTCGTGTGCGAAAGATGCATGAAGAATGACATGTTGATTATATGTTCACAACTCAAACAATTGTTTGAATTAGCTTATATATGTGAATCTTATGTGAATCTTATATGTTAGCCATACCTTATGAAATAGATTGAATGCCGGAAGCTACGTGATCTGGCATGAATGCCACCACCGATCGAGGTGGAAGTTTGGCCGGGGCCAATGCGACTTTTTGTGACTCAAAGGCGCACGAAGACTTTCTTGACAGGGCTGGACAAAGACCATGTACTGACGGGCACTGATCAATTATATAGATATCGCTGAAACGTAGGTTCCAAATGCCGCCGAAGATGAAGACGATGAGGCAAGCGCAATTCATTGGTCAGGATGATCATTGCTGAGGGTGATGCTGATGCAGTTTGCATTCTTGTGTCTGATACCCTTAGTGCATCTCATGTCACCCAAGTTCATTTTTTTTGCAGGACTTTGACTTCAACTTTGCCAAGCCGCCAGTCGTTTCAGCTCCTATACAGCTGAAGTTTTCAGTGCAAGTTAAACCCTCAGAGGCAGGACAGCGTCCGACAGCGGACATTCAGGTCCACTCCACCCTGTCGTTGCCTGTTGAAAGAGGTTGGCCTCGGGATCAGCTGGAGCCAAAGGATGTGGCATCTTTCATGGCCGAAGTCTTAGCCGATCGTCTGCCGCGTTTTGCAGCGGATTTTTGGAATTTGCACCTGGTAGATGCTCCGCTTCAGCTCCGTGGCTATCAGCAGTGGTCCTCAGAGCACCCTGCTCAACTTCGAAGTACCTGGCTGCCAAAGATATGTCCTGCGTGTGTGACGTTGCAGCGCCTTCCGAGTGAAATTGGATTTGACCTTGGTCCTTCTGGCAAATTGACGGTGGCATGTGAGCCTGTCGGCTTACAAACGACAGAAGATGGAGAAAGGTTGGACTTACAGGTGAGCACCGCCTTGAACGGATTTCCAGTGGCTGGAGCAGCTTGGGGTTGGCTCGGATGTGGTGGCCGTTGGTGGTTTGAGAGATTTCGCTTGCCAACGCTTCGCAAAATGCTCCAGGCATACCATGAGATGGTGCATGAACAGATGATGTTATACTATGTTGCTGCTTTGAAGAACTAGTCGCTCCGAAAAGGTACGCGTCCGGTTGTGTCGCTGCTGTTTCACCATGTTGCACCATTTTTACCTCTTGCCATGTGTTTTTGCTTGCGGCTGGTGCATGCTGCATGCGTGTTTTGAAGAGCCACGGTAGATTTGTGGCCTTCAATTTAGACAGGATTTAAGACCCAACTTGTTGAAGCTAGACGTATTCCTTTTTCGATCCGACCTGCAGTCCTCTCAGCCAGATGTTGGAAAGAATTGTCGCTTCACCTAGCTCAGAGACCAGGCTGTGAATTTGATGCTTGGATGTAAACAGCGAGTCGTTCGCTGCTGCCAGCGTTGAACCCACACAGACGTTTTGCAATCGCATGGTAATATTTTCAGCTCAATCCCTTGCACGCGACCCCTGCTAAGCTGATATGGGTTGCGGCTCATCGGTGCAAGTACATCAAGATCCAGATTCGGTGCGCCCAGCAAACGTGCACATGAAGAGAACTATTCACTTGCCGTTTTCTTGTTTACTCTTAACTTGTTGAGACACGGAATTCCATGTGGGCTGTGACTTCTTGAACATGACCCTGTGCAGAGGTAGTCCCGACTGCTCCTAGCGCTGCGGGGAAGCAAGATGTTTCAGCCTGAGCTTAGTTCTGATGTGTGCAAAATTGAAGCCAGGGGGTACTTGAGGCAACCGTTGACTTTGTAATTAAATGTTTGTCTTCACAAAATGAGATTCAAAAAACGTTGAAGATGCTGATGCCATATTATGTACATGTGATGAAAATGCTTCGCTGATCTGTTTACACCGCATGTGATTATTTGTAGACTTTATATAGCTCCAGGGACTGTCAATTTCCAAGCCATTTCGCACATAGCTGCTATAGGCAAACAAGTGTGCTAGGAGGCATACAGGGCCGAAACCAAGGTGTCATGATGTCATGCTGACATTCCAAGCATGGTTTAAAGTTCAGAGAAGATCCCGGAGCCAGCCTCTACATCAATAGCTGTTGACCCTACTATAGGCTGACTCCTCTATTTGCCAAGGGTTTAATTCTTTGGAGATGTGCGCCTGATTTCTATGTTTGACCAAATTCTGACCTGGGGTGGTTGACATGTACGGGCTTCCAGAGAAAGCAAAATGTCAGCAACCAATGTTGATTCTGGGTGTAGACTATTAATTGACAATCCTTACCTTTTGCTCTAAAGAGGACAACTGTGTAAGTGCAGCACGCTTATTCTCCTGTATCAACAAATCATGTTCTGAAGACTTTCAGTCAAAAGGCTGAATGTTCAAATGTTCCAAGGCTGCCTCATTTGCTGATGGTTGCAGACTACGTATTTTCCACATCAATGATGTTTACGCCTTAGACAATCTACCAGTGCTTCGCAGCTGCATACTTGCACGCAGTGAAGGTGTGAATGTGTTGACGACACTGGCTGGCGATTTTTTGGCACCCTCCCTACTGTCCTCGATCGACCATGGTCGTGGAATGGTTGCTGCGATGAATGCAGTTCCCGTAGATGCAGTTTGCTTTGGGAACCACGAGTGTGATATACCATTTGGTAGCCTTGTGCAACGCATAAATCAGTTTGAGGGCACTTGGTTGAACTCCAACATGCTATCAATGAAAGAAGAGCCAGAACTTCGGGAGAAACTCGTAGAATATCATATGGTTGAATTGGAAGGTGGAAGATCCGTTGTTTTGACCGGCTTCCTTATTGGCGGAGATAAGTTTGCTTCCTTGTACAGGAAAGGAGCCTTTGGTGGCCATGCGACCAAAATCAAGCCTGTGCTTGAATCTGTGGATGAGGTCATGTCTCAAGTGCACAGCATCTATCCAGACGCTGACTGTGTCATCCCCTTGACCCATCAAGACATGCCAGACGATGTCGCCATAACCAACCGAGGGCACAATTTCCCGGTGGTTTTGGGTGGCCATGACCATGACGTTTTTTGTGAACATCACAACGGCACTGTTATTGTGAAAGCAGGAGCCGATGCCAAGAATGTTGCTGTGATCGACCTCTTTTGGGAGAAAGGGGCTCCGCCAAAGTCTCCTCCCATCGTGTCCATAGAGATGGTTCCGTTAGAAGCTCCAGAAGGCAAGGAGCGGTCTGAAGCTCCATATCAGCCAGATCTGAAATTACAAGAGACTGTGAAAATCTTGCAGAGACCAGCTGAAGAACTGAAGGCAGCTACCCTGGCAGCAATGCCTGTGGATGACGAGGATCCCTTGACATCAGAGGGAGTGCGATTTCACGAATGCACCATGGCAACTTTGCTCGCAAGCGGATTGCGAGACATTGGAGGAGCTGATGGTGCTCTGATGAATGCAGGTAGCATTCGTGGAAAGAAGACCTATTCTGATGGCAGGATCCGCTTTGCTGATTTGGCCTCAGAGGTGCCGTTCCCATCCACGGTCATCACTGCTGTGATTCCGGGCTCAGTGCTATCAGAAGCAGTTGCAGCAAGCAGAGCTCCATGGCATGGGGCGGAAACCCCCAGGGCTGGTGCTCCTGCTGGATCCACCTCCCATGCCTTGCATTTTGATGATGGGATGAAGTCAGATCCCATCACAGAAGAGCTTGTTGAAGTTGCAGGGAAACCTTTAGATCCAGATTGTCTCTACAGCATTGTCATTGATAGTTTCTTAATGCACAACGACAAGGTCCTCATGGAGTACACCAAGGCTCATCCGGAGAACGTTCCATCTGAGGAAAGCGGGCGACCAGCCCTGCCGATGTTGGTGGAGTTTTTTTGTAACAAGATTTGGGCCAGCCTTTGTGATGTGGATGGTGATGGTGTTGTTCAGGTTGAGGAAATTGATGAGTTTTTTGACTTAGCAGACACTGATGGGAATGGAGAGAACCTTGCCCGAGATTCAGCACATTTTATTCGCACCTTAAGTTCTGGGAACTTGGGGCCATTTCCACCATTTACTTGCATTGTCTTGCATTCCTGTTGGAAATTGTAGGTCCTTCTTGTTGGGAAGCTGCCACTCGAACTGAGGCTTGACGTGGACGAGATCATGGTTGCCATGTCCTTGAGGCTTGGCGATCTAGATGTGACCAGAGTCTTGGCTCAGCAATGCGTGAGCCTGGCTGACGAAGATGGCAATGGGAAGGTCTCAAAAGAGGAGCTTAGAAAGTTCATGATGGCAGAGGCGAAAGCGCGCTTGGAAAGTCCAACGACGTGATGGGCCTTGATGGGTGCATCCCAGATTTCCCCATTTTTTAATCAACGGTTGGTCAAGTGATGACACGTATGACATGTATATATTTGATGAAATCTGCATGGTATGAGAAATCCTCCAAGTCAGCAGTCTCCCATTGGCCAACAGTTGACGGGGTCTATTGAGATTGGGATGAGTTTGTGTCAGGAAACAAACTATGAATCTTTCTGTGTCATTTTCGAGATTCCAGAACACGTGTGCCACTCCAATTCTGCTGCAATCATGTGCTGCCCAATCTTCAGAATCATACACTCTTGCAAGCTGAAGGCTTTGCTTTTGAGGCATATCATTTTGAGACATTAGGAGGAATGTACAGGCACCAAATATTGGATAGCTTGATAATACTTCCAATCGCAGAAATTATATATATAAATAATAGATAATATATAATATATTATATATAATACAATATACTATAATATGATATAATATGATACAATATGATATAATATGATATAATATGATATAATATGATATAATATGATATAATACGATATAATATGATATAATATGATATAATATGATATTATATGACATAATATGATACAATATGATAATATAATATAATATAATATAACATAATATAATATAATATAATATAATATAACATAATATAATATAATAGAATACAAAAAATATGATAAAACATAATATTAATAATATTATATAATAAAATATGATATAATAAAGTATGATATAATAAAATATGATATAATAAAATATGATATAATAAAATATGATATAATAAAATATGATATAATAAAATATGATATATTAAACATAACAAAATAAAATATAATAAAATAAAATAAAAAATATTATGATATGATTTAATATAATATGATATAATATAATATAATATGATATAATATAATATAATACAATATAATTTAATATAATATGTATATCTTAAGATTAACATGATGTTCACACGGATCTACATAGGATGTTTGATACCATCTTAATTAACTTCGATAAAATATACATTCAGGGATACTACATCGATTACATCGTGCCGTGGATTTCAGGGCACGTGTCCGACCTTCTTCCCCACCTGCCAGGTGAGGGTCGCTAGATTTTATCAGAGGTGCTGCCCGCCTCCGCCTGCCTCAGCCTCGACCTCCGCCTCGGACTCCGCCTCTGCATCAACTGCGTGCTCCAGATCTCAGTGGGCCCTCAACCGCGAGCTCCAGATCTCAGTGGGCACTGCCGGATTTCAACCGCGAGCTCCAGATCTAAGTGGGCACTGCCGGACCTTAACCACATGTCAGTGGGCACTGCCAGACCTCAACAGCAAGCGCCAGAGCTCAACGGATTTGTATGTTCATTGGCAGAATATATATGTCACAATATATGACTTGAAATGCCATGGTGGAGATCACCCGAAGTAAAATAATTTTGGTGGGAAACAGCGTTTGCAGGAACCCGTTATCCCTTCTACTTTGCAGCAAACCGGAGCCTTGATATTCTACGAAAATCAAAATATCATTTTGTGGATTCATCCTTCCCGACTATCTCCATTTGATTCCTTATGAAGAGGAATAGGTAAAAGGACAGCCCAAAAATAAATTCCACACAATAATATTGACCTATAATTTTGCTGCAAGAAAACCCTCCTGAGAATACACACGAAGTTAAATTACGCAAAAAAACACATTATTGTTGAGGAAACATAGCTGGAATATACAATATACCAGTAGTACCGCACAAGGCGGTGGCGGAAGTTTCAAAAATAGGAAACCTATAGGAGAAGTTGGTTGTTGTGAATCAGGGATGGCAGAGCGAAGCCGCTGATGGACCGAAAGGTGGTTGAGGTCTCCTCTCTTTCTCTCTCTTTCTCTCTCTCTCTCTCTCTTTCTCTGACTATCTACCTAACCTACCTACCTACCTACCTCCCTCCCTCCCTACCTACCTACCTACCTATGTATCTATCTATATCTATCTATATCTATCTATATCTATCTATATCTATCTATATCTATCTATATCTATCTATATCTATCTATATCTATCTATATCTATCTATATCTATCTATATCTATCTATCTCTATCTATCTCTATCTATATCTATCTATATCTATCTATCTCTAACTATCTCTATCTATATCTATCTATATCTATCTATATCTATCTATATCTATCTATATCTATCTATATCTATCTATATCTATCTATATCTATCTCTATCTATCTATATCTA